TGTTTATGCTTTTGGACTTGGCAATTGGCAGATCAGTGGATTGCCCTTCAACAAATACTCGTGGCTGGTGACCCACAATGCCTTTTCAATTGTAAATGCACCCTTATTAACAGGCCCCCAGAGAATTACATTCTATAATCAAGAAGACACCGTCACTAACCAATTGAGAGTATGTGGTTCCCTATTCTTGTCCAACTATATTTTTCAGCATTTATAGACATGTTCCTTGTATGTTGTTTGTAGTTCTTATGTTTATTTCATGTATCTTTTTAGAATGGAGTGAGGGGATTGATGCTGGATATGTACGATTTCGAGAACGATATATGGCTCTGTCACTCGTTTCGTGGCCAATGTTACAACTTCACTGCCTTTGTAATGCTATACAATTCCCTCTCTTCTTTTGCAGTGAGATCGGCTTTGAGTAGCTCTTCCGATGTTAATACATAAAATGTGCTTTCTTTAGGAACCTGCAATCAACACTTTGAAAGAGGTGGAAGCATTTTTGAGTGCAAATCCTACAGAAATAGTCACCATCATAATTGAGGATTATGTGCATACCCCAAAGGGTTTAACAAGGGTATTTACTGATGCTGGATTGGACAAGTATCGTTTTCCTGTTTCAAAAATGCCCAAAAAGGGTGACGATTGGCCCACCGTGAATGATATGGTTAAAAAGAATCATCGTTTGTTGGTTTTTACTTCTGATTCTTCAAAGGAAGCTGCTGAAGGAATTGCTTATCAGTGGAGATACATGGTCGAAAATGAGCGTAAGTACTAAATTAATGTGCGCTTCTGTGGTAATTCTGGTTTGTGGGTTGGTTCTTTAGTAATCATATATGATAAATGTTTCAGCTGGAGACCCTGGAGTGGTGCCTGGCTCATGCTCCAGCCGCAAGGAATCAAAGCCACTTAATTCCAGAAGTGCCTCTCTGTTTCTAATGAATTACTTTCCCACAGTTGCCGTACAAAACGGGGCCTGCAAGGAGCATTCAACTCAACTAGTTGATACGGTTGGTGCCTGTTTCAAAGCATCAGGCAACCTGATGCCAAATTATGTGGCAGTAAACTTTTACATGGTATTAAAATATTTACTGGTTAATGATGCTAATGCAGATTACTAGTATAAATTTTCAACATTGACTGATGAAAAAAGAATATTCCTGCAGAGAAGTGATGGAGGAGGAGTTTTTGATGTTTTAGATCGAATGAATGGTCAGACACTATGTGGTTGCCCGACGGTCACGGCATGCCAGGTTTATCCATATTTTGTCAAATATTGATATTTGGATTTTAGAACTGTAAACACATGTCTATGTAGCAAAGGCTCACTTTATGAAGAGAGTTAGGGGGAAGAACCATGATTGAACTTCTCTTTATTAGCAGATCCTGAGTTTGAATTATGTGGCCTGTAAGTGATACATATCTTCAATTCGACAGTAGAGAAAGTGATCTACTTCTCTGTCTAAGAAAAACAAAAGTTGAGAGGTCCACAATAAGAAATAGCTTTTGAAGAAAGCTTCAAGACGAGAAATAGCATTACCACTTAAGTGATTAAAATCAGATAACAGGAGCTTGAAACATCAATTGCAACTTCTCTTCTTGTGAATCTAAACAAATTTGGCATATTATTCACTGTATGGGCAAAAGTTACTCAATGGACAAGTAGTTGGTGTAGCCCATGACACTTTGTCATTCCACTTGTATCAACAAATTTCTTTTTTTACAATTAGTAGGATAGTTAAGTAACACCGTTTTAGCTCTATATGGCCAAAAGCTCTTTTTATGGATGTTGTCTTCCTCGTCTCTTTAACCTGTCTCTCAAACTAAAAATTTGCAAGCATTTATGAGAATACAACTCATGACCTTAAACATGAGTTGATTAGTGGTGTGATCAGTTGATACTTATATTGATAAAATTTCAAAAGATTTTATTTGCATGAACCAAGAAAATCTCTAACATTGACCTGGTTACATTGCTTCTAAATAATTATTATGATAAAAGAGCTTTTGCCCTCATGGATATTGCAGACATCCCGAGGGATCTATTAGATATAGATTTAAGCTTATAGAGTTTTGTTGGTTAAATAATTCTTCAAAAGTATAGGGTCATCACTGAGATTCTCGGCAGCAGTAAGGACATATCTCAATATAAAAACCCAACATCTACTTGGCAGTTTCTTCTCAAATGACATATCTGAGAAAGTATCATTACCACGCTGTTGGTTCCAAATGAAATGTCTTTGCTTGGTTTTACTTGTTTTATTAAGAGAAGTTGAAACAGTCACTGTTTATGATTTATTGGAGGCATACATGAGAGCATAGGTTTACTTTTGAACTTATGCTTAAATGGACTTTCTTTTTGCAGGCGGGAGAACGTTTTGGAGTTTGTAGGAATATTACTGCAGCGAATGCAGCTCCAACAGCAACCAACGCTGCGGGAAGTTTTTCTGGGTCTGTGCAATTAACAGGCCATGCTTCAGCAATCCATTTTTCCAGTATCATATACCTATTTTTATGGTCTTCTGTAATGATCTTGTATCTATTTTGAGAAGAAGAAAAGAGTTTCAGGCAGACGTTTCCATCAGTTTTATCCATGGATGCTCGATTTCTACTATATTTTCCTGTGTAGATTTTTGGAGTCGGAATAGGTACAGTATACACTAGAGTCCCACTTCGGCATGTTAGAACAAAGAACATTCAGCTTGAAGTTTGTTCTCCTAGTAAAAAAGAACTTGTAATTTTATGGAGGAGTTTGACGTAGAAGTAGGCAATGGGTTGCAGAAGAATATTCAACATGTACCAGGTAATTTTTATCACTTTCCAGGGCATTTTCTAACTGCCAGTTCTTTTTCTTTGATATGTTTACAATGGTGGTCTTATTTTTCAAGTGGATTTTGGTTAGTTTCCAGTATGAAAATGTGACTTTCTCCAGTCACATTAGTAAGTCACTTTGTGAGTTGTGAATTTCTATGCTTCCGCTCTGAGTTTCTTGAATTAGTCTGATTATTGAAGATGCTTGATTAGGAGGAGGTGATAACTGAAAATTCTTAGGCAATTCAGCTATTTTCATTTGATTTTCAGTTGGGGTGGTTACTGCTTTTAGAAATGCGGCAGTGATCTTGTTACCAGACCAAGCCTGGAGTGGTTCCAACGTTTTTGCCTAGTTTCAATATGTTTTTTTCCTTGGGGAGAATTTCATTTTTTGGGATTGACACTGGCTCTATGGAAAGTTTTTGAAGAGATACGATTTCTAAATTATCATCTAGCTTATGTTTAGATATAAAAGATTGCTGGTATGTAATAGTAGAGGAGGATAGCATGAATCATATAGAATGGTATTTAGTGATGGTTAGCAGAAAATAAAATAAAGGCTAGTTTCTAGTATAAATTCTGTGGAGCAGGAGTGAGAGTAATGCGAGTAAAAAGTGATTTACATACTTAAATGATGTGAGGAGTTTTCCTTATTTGTTCTCAGATCTTTCTTCTTTAAAAAGTATCTTCAACACAGTTTGAGAATGTTCAGACTAACGTATTATTTCGCGATTGATGGTATATTCAAATCACTTTCTGGTTAAGTATCTAACACAAAAGTGGAGCTTACAAATTGCTATGGTGCTTCTTTGGTGGACTAGTTTGTACTTCTCAAGGAGTATCATGTTGCTCATTTTTGCTACCTAAACTGTTAACACACTTGAACTTTTATACTGTCAGTGAATATACGTTAAACTTTTTATTTATGTGTGAACTTTTCTCTGATGCCCTATTTCTTTCCTGTCTTTTCAGGTTATTATTCAGGGCAGTTCAGGTGTAGAAACTAGCGGAATGTATTAGTTGTGTTCAATTAATGATAGTGTCAATCATGCAATCTTTTTCTTTCTCTTCGGAGTTTCTGCCTGCGGTGTAATCACTATCACAATTATGCAGTAGAGCCACTTTCCAGCTTTGAGAATTTAGTCACAATTATGCAGTAGAGCCACTTTCCAGCTTTGAGAATTTAGTCACAATTATGCAGTAGAGCCACTTTCCAGCTTTGAGAATTTAGTCACAATTATGCAGTAGAGCCACTTTCCAGCTTTGAGAATTTAGTCACAATTATGCAGTAGAGCCACTTTCCAGCTTTGAGAATTTAGTCACAATTATGCAGTAGAGCCACTTTCCAGCTTTGAGAATTTAGTCACAATTATGCAGTAGAGCCACTTTCCAGCTTTGAGAATTTAGTCACAATTATGCAGTAGAGCCACTTTCCAGCTTTGAGAATTTAGTCACAATTATGCAGTAGAGCCACTTTCCAGCTTTGAGAATTTAGTCACAATTATGCAGTAGAGCCACTTTCCAGCTTTGAGAATTTAGTCACAATTATGCAGTAGAGCCACTTTCCAGCTTTGAGAATTTAGTCACAATTATGCAGTAGAGCCACTTTCCAGCTTTGAGAATTTAGTCACAATTATGCAGTAGAGCCACTTTCCAGCTTTGAGAATTTAACTTAGTCACATGTTAGACCACTATAATACTACAATAAGGTTACTCTCATGTGACACTACTAGGTAGTATGTCCCATTAGTGGAATCATTGTTTGTTTAAAGCATTATACAAATCGTAAATGTCACCAACTCACCATTGTTGAAGACGTCAGATGAATTTCCGCGCGTTATACTAATAAGAGAAGCATGCAGATTTGTTGTGTTGGCCTCTCCGGGCCTGCGAGTTAATAAGAGTTTTAAGTTCTATGGACAGACAGTGTAAAAAGTACTCTTGAATGAACACAGTCAGCTAAATTGTAAGTAAATATTAGCTTAAATCTAAATCTCACCCCCTTCCCCAAAATTCCAACAAATGGGTTCTTGGGGAAATTGAGTGTTTTGACTGCCGAGGAATGATTTCTTTCACTTATAAGAACATGGATTTATAATTAGTGAAGAATTAATACTTCGGTGCGGGACTAGAGAACCAGACTTTGAAACGAACACTGCAGAAATTCTAAGTAATTCTAGACTCCAGAATGAATCATCTGACAAGCAGAAATATGGCCTTTAAAATGTTGTTACTAGCAGAAAGGATCTTTTCAGAAGCCTTGCTGCAGGCGATCGTCCAAATTAATACAAAGGAGAAGCACAGAAAACAATCTGTACAAAGCATTATTGTTCATCCAACAATTGGCAAGCTGTACATAAGATATAGTTGCAATCAAATTCTAGGTAGATGGACCGGACCCTTAAAAGAAAGGTCACATAGGAACTTAAAAGGCTCCTCAGAAAACAGCAATATTAGGCAGCATTCCTTTAGGTTGTATCTGTAGAGCTGGGCTAATAGTGAGTAGGCCAATAAAGCAGTCCACAGTAACCCTCATGCCCCATGCATTAATAGACTCGAGTTTGCGGCATTCATTTACCAAAGCTAGAAGTCCATTCTCAGTTACATGACGGCAGCCCCACAGCACAATAGTCTGCAAAAGAGATGCACAAGTATCACTAGTATTCTTAAAAATCTTACAGTGGAAAAGGCAAAAGAAGAGCTAAGAAACTTACCTTCAACTGTGGGCAGCTACCAGCAATAGCAAACAAGGATATGTCTGTTATAAATGTACCGCCAATATTCAGATGCTGTAGAGAAGAAGCTCTGGAGATCTAACCAAACAACCAAAACTAAATGAGACAACTTTTCATAGGCAGCTAATTTCACCAAAAGTATAGGGCAGGAAAAACCTCATTGTTACAAATTGCAATGTATCGTGCTTCATAAAAAATGGGTAATGGCAACAAGACTGAACTTTCAAGTGCAATTTTTAAAAAGATATATGTAATAGAAAGATGTCCATTATATATGAGTTTGGGACTCCAATAAGATCCACAAATGAAGTGCACCCGAGGATAACATACCAGCTGAACAACACCTGTATCTGTGATCCCAGTAGTGCCCCATAAAGATAGTGATGACAGATTGCTAATACATCTAGCAGTGGACAATTGGTACAGTCCACGATCCGTTATTTGACAACCCCAACGGCTCCTTGAGCTGAAGAAAGCAAACAAGTCAGTAACAGTACAACAAAGAAGTCATGTCTTCCCCTATTCATCATGGTAAATTTTCGAATCACTAGCCACATTCATGTCATGTCCAAAGTTGAAACAACCAAAAAGCACCAAATAGGTAGCAGACATTTGTGCACTGACAATTACTCGGCATACTTTACCTTGTCATTTGTTACTACATACTAGTATCTTACATGGATTCCAAAATGCAAAAATACCTCCAAGTTTGAGTAGATGCCCTATGCTTCAGGCTGGTTAATAAAGAACGGGGTTCATATATAGATATGTAAAGACTAATAAAAATAACCATAACTCAATTAGGTCTTTTGCAGAAAATAGGATCTCATACTGAGCTCCAAATATATGATGTCGGGCCGAGATGGCTTTGTCTTTAATACCAGCCACTCAAGCTGCATGATTAAATGGTTTCATCAGCCTAGTGGCTGTTGTATCACTGATCAAAGAGCGAGCAGCTGCAGGTATAATGATTTGGTGGATCTATTAATGCCACATTTAGTCGAGACCTATGTTGCGCGACTCTCCAAAATGATGCCGCACCCGTGTCGGATCCTCCAAAAATACACTATTTTTGGAGGATCCGACATGCACCCGGCAACATTTTCGGCGAGTCTAAGCAGCATATGTCGAGACTAGCCAGATTTTCAAATATTGAAGAGCACGGCTTTATGGTTTTGCTCTATCCTACTTGACATAGATAGAAAGAGAAAATGATTGCTCTGACCGCTGAAGTTGAGAAGAACACAATGATTGGTCTAAGCGTCGATACAGAAAATTCAACTAGCAAGAAAGTGATCACTAGTTCGTCAGACAACTTTTGTCACTAATATAAGCATTCTCATTTCTGATATATCAAAAACCTTTTGAATCAATCATTTAAAGAGAGTGATCATATAAAGACCTCTGACTCCTAATGTAGATGACAGGGCCTGTGTTTTATCATAAATTGACAAATGTATCATAATTGATCAAGGTTTTATCTAAAAGAGTATGATATCATCGGACGAAATAAATTTACTTAGAGTACAAAATTAGAAACTTAAAAAGTCATACATATCGAGTTCCTTGAGTCTGTAAGCAAGAAGAACGAGGCGAGTAGTAGAATCATCATTCACTTTCCAGCCAGAAAAACTCAAACTTTCTCTTCTAGCTAAGGATTCTTTCACCCCCTCTCTCCATTTCCTGCTCACAGCGCTCGTCCTACAAACAAGTAGCAAAAAAAGGACAACAAATAAACACAAGACGAAACAGAAACAAAGGGGTAAATAGAGGGAATTAAGAAAAAAAAAGTAGAGGAAAAAGAATTAGGTAAATTAACTGAGCCAAATCCTTGAAACAAGTAAGAAGAGCAAAAATATGAGCCAAGAGGTCAAAGGGGAGTCTATCAATCGGCGTTTCTTGATCATCTACTTCTTCAACCCCCTTTCGCTTCATGGAACCAAATTAAAAGAAAATCACAGAAATAACAAAGGGCTTCAAAATTCAACACACACACAGAAAATTCAAGAAGAAGAAAGAAGGAGTCGAAGTTATGTAAGCTGTTTAACAGAGAATAATAAAAATCTAACAAGTAGGAGAGAGAAAGAAGAAGATGAAAATAAAGTGTGGTCATCTTTTCGTCATGTCATTCGCCTTTTAACGTTAGTATGCTATGTTCTTTTCCTTCTAGATGCAGTACCTTTTAGAATCTTCATAAATAATTCCTGCTGTAACTGAATCAGATAGTTGAATTTAATAAACTAGCTCGTCATTTTAGCCCAAATATGAGAACATTTTTAACGATAGATCATAGTGAGATTAAAAAATATAAAAGTTTTACCCCACTTACTGTTGGTCCAAGTGAAGTTTTGTTTTGAAAATTGACAAATGAATCTCATGCATGAATCAGATTCATCCCCTGTGTATACAGACATGGACAGATTTGAGCATGAGGAATGCACGTGAAGGAGATAAGCTTAACTTATTATATGTGATATCTCCTGATTGAAAATGTTGCATATTTGATAAGAAGAAGGACTCCTTACTCAAAGAGAACACTATCCAAGATAAAAGAGTAGTTAGAAGTTGAGGATAACTAAAACTCTTCCACCAAGGAAGATTAGCATTAGAACTCTAGTTGTTTCTTATTCTACTAACTCTATATATTGCAGAATGTTCTCATTCTACAGGTACGCGCAAAAATAGAAGTTAAACGTGAGTTGAGAGCAAAATAGCAAGGCATTTTGCAAGCAATTCTTGTGTGATTCAAGTGTGTGAACCTGAAGCTACATGAACCAGATAGAAGAACCAGTTCCAAGTGTCTGTCTTTTATTCTAGTTCAATTGTAGTAGGTGGTTTTCAAGTTGTACCTTTCAGCTTTATCTAGAAGTAATTGTAATAGGTACTCTAGGTATTCAAGTTAGAGTTAACTTGAAGTTGTCGCAACAGTTAGAGACTGGTTGCCACAACGGGATTAGAGGTTTACAAAAAGTCTTTGTAAATGCTGTTTTGGCTCAGTGATTTAGTGAAGTGTTGGGAAAAATTCTACTGAGTAGTAGGTCGTGGTTTTTTCACTTTTTGAGCCGGGTGTTTTTCACGTAAAAATACTTGTGTTCTTTACTTTTCGCATTTACTATTTCAGCAACAGTAGGTTAAGGAACATTTAGAAGAACAAGGTCCTTCTATAATCAGTGCACATGAAAATTGGACATCACACAAATCACCTCTCTCTTGTGTGGCAGTAACATATAAAATATCAATTGATATTAGAGCAGGTTACCCTTGAAGAGGCTAACACCTTAGGAGAAGATCAAGATGAGTGCACCACCTGGAAATTGGGAAGGGCAATCCACTGCTAGGCCACCACTATTCAACAGCCAGTACTACTCCTGGTGGAAAAACATGATGAGAGATCACATCATAGGAGGAGACTATGAGCTATGGAACATTGCCACAGATGGCCCACTAGCTACCATGAAGATAAATGCTGGAGGAGTAGAAGTACCAATGACAAGAGCAGATTGCACAGCTGAGGACTTGAAAAAATAGGAGAAGAATGCCAAAGTCAAGAAGTGGCTTATTTGTGGACTTAGTCCAAATGAGTATAGCAGAATCCAAAGCTGTACCACTGCCAAGGAAACCTGGGACACTCTGTAAGTGGCTCACGAAGGAACACCTCAGGTGAAAAGGTCCAGAGAAACTCTACTGTATTCTCAATATGAGAACTTTACTATGAAGGAAGGAGAAACCATTCAACAAATGTACATAAGGTTCACTACATTGACAAATGAACTAAAGTCTCTTGGAAGAATTATTTCTGAAGAAGATAGAGTCGAGAAAATATTGACAAGGGTTCTGCCTGTTACTTGAGAGAGTAAAATTACTACCATTCAGGAATCAAAGAACATTGCCACCCTCCCACAAGATGAATTAATTGAAAATCTCACTGCTTATGAACTTAGGAGACACACCATGAAAATGGATGGACCAAAGAAGGAAAGAAGCGTGACACTTAGAATCACTGAAGGTTCTGATCTTGAAGATGATGAAAAAACTATGATCACTAAGGATTTCAAGAAATACTTGAGGAGAGGAAATGGTCCTTCAAGAAGTGGAAGGTATAGCAAATCAAAAGTTCCTGAGAAGCAAACCAATGATGGATGCTACAAATGTGAAAAGACTGATCACCACATCAAAAACTGTCTCTAATGGGAAATTGAATGGAAGAAGGAAAGAGCTAAATAAAGAAACATGAATAAGGAATAGGTTCAACCCAAGAAAAGCAAAGTATCAACCAAGGCTATGGTCGCTGCTTGGTGAGAAAGCTCAGATGATGATGATGGGGATGAACAAGCACTTATGGCCATTGGAGAATCTGATGAGGAAACTGAGATAAGTGTAATTCATCTCAAAACCAAGATTAAATTGTTGTCTAAAGAAAGGTTATCTGAGTTACTTCTAGAACTAGTTGATGAATCTAAGGATGTAAACAATGAAAAAGAACAATTGTCTAAAGAAAGGTTATATGAGTTACTTATAGAACTAGTTGATGAATCTGGAGATGTAAATAATGAAAAGGAATAGTTGTCTAAAGAATGTGTGATTTTAAAGGCTAAGTGCAAAAATCTGGAACTTAGGGTTAGTGAAATTGTAAGTAAAAATATTGTTTTGAAGAACCAGGTTCATACACTTGACTCAACTGTTCTAGAGCTTAGATCTGAAAATCTAAAACTGAAATTAGGAACAGGTAAAAAGACAAATGATCACACACAACTCACTCTAGAAGAAAATATAGGAAAAATAAAAGATGAGTTGTATAAAAGGGATGAGTAGGTAAGAATCCTAAAGAAGGATTTAAGCAAGGTCAAGCATGAGCTTAACAAAACTTGTAAATGGAACAGGTCCTCCGATGCACTTTTATGGCTACAGGAACATCATAGTAGCAACAAAAGAGGACTTGGCTTTGGGAACCTGGTACCTAAATGGGATCCTAAAAGCAAGTACCTCACACTTCCTGAGAACAAGATTTGCACACATTGTGGTAAAACAGGTCACTATAAAAGTGAATGCACTGCAAAAGAAAAGGCAAGTCCAAAGAACAAAGAATTTGTTCAAGGGAAAAATAGGCTACCAAGTTGGGCTAAAAAGAATTTAATTCATCCTTTTGCCTATAGAATGGAAATCAAACTAGTTTGGGTTCCTAAGACTAACCCCTAATTTCTTTCTGCAGGTCCAAGTGAAGGAGAGCAGTCAAATATGGTACATGAATAGTGGCTGCTCAAAGCAAATGACAGGAAACAAGAACCAGTTCCTTTCACTTGAGGACCTTAAAAAAGGTAATGTCTCCTTTGGAAATGGGAAGAAAGGTGAGATCATTGGGGTTGGAAAGGTAGGCAAGAATGATTCTCATTCTATTGAGAATGTCTACTTGATAGATGGACTAAAGTACAGTCTAATAAGTGTATCACAATTGTGCGATCGAGGTAACATAGTAGCATTCACATCTTCCAAATGCTTTTTGATTAATCTTACCACTGACAAGATAGTTTTGCAGGGAAAAAGAGTGAATAACATATATGTTGTAGATCTGTCCACACTTTCAGAAAATAAATTCACTTGCTTAAGTGTGTTGGATAATGATCCCCTCATTTGGCATAAGAGACTTGGACATGCCAGTCTAAGTCAACTCAACAAACTTGTCGCCAAGGACTTGGTGATAGGACCGCCTAACATTAAGTTCAAGGAAGATAAGGTTTGTGAGGCATGTGCAAGGGGAAGCAGGTAAGATCCTCTTTTAAAAGCAAGAAAGTGGTAAGCACCACCAGGACGATGGAACTGGTCCAAATGGATCTTTGTGGACCAATGAGAACATTAAGCAGATGTGGTAAGAGATATGCGATGGTGTTTGTTGATGATTACTCTAGGTTTACTTGGACATTGTTTTAACCATCTAAAAATGAAGCATTTGGCATGTTCACTTCGTTTGTTAGAAAACTCAGAAACAACTAGGTAATCAACTTACATCAATTATGTCTGATCATGCTACTGAATTTGAGAATGCTAAATTTGCTGATTTTTGTGATGAACATGGCATAAATCATAACTTTTCTTCTCTTAGGACTCTACAACAAAATGGAGTAGTTGAAAAAAAGAATAGGACACTCGATGATATGGCTAGGACTATGTTTCTTTCTAGTAAACTGCCCCATAGTTTCTGGGCAGAAGCTGTGAACACTGCATGTTACATCATAAATATGTGCATGACTAGACCGCTTGTTGAGAAGACTCCCTATGAGTTACTTAAAGGGAGAAAGCCAAACATATCCCATTTTAGGGCATTTGGATGCAAGTTCTTTGTGCACAATAATAGTAAAAACTCCCTAGGTAAGTTTGATCCCAGAAGTGATGAGGGAGTATTCCTGGAATATTCTTCACATAGTAAAGCTTATAAGATTTATAACAAAAGAACTATGTGTGTAGAAAAAAATGTACATGTAGTTTTTGATGAAACTAACATTCTTTATAAGAGACAGGAACATGAAGATGAAGCAATTGCACTGGTTAGAAACTCAAATAAAACCACAGCCCAGACTGAAGCTGCACCAAAGGAAGGAACATGTGATGGAACAGGTCCTTCTACCCAGGGCAACTGACATGGAGAGCTGAAAAAAGAAGAACCGATCCTCAAACCCTGAGGGAACCTATCCATAAGACTGTTCCTCAACAACAAAACACTGAAGGAACATCTAAGGGAAACCAGCTGGTTGTGAAACCTTATAAATACCAAAGTTCTCATCCCATTGTGAACATAATTACTGATCCAACCTCTGAAATCAAAACCAGATTTTCTTTAAAAATTCTTTGTACTTTTGATGCTTTTCTATCTCTTATTGAACCTAAAAATATTGTTGAGGCTTTATAGGATGTAGATTGGGTGAATGCAATGCAAGATGAACTCAACCAATTTGAGAAAAGTCAAGTTTAGCATCTGGTACCAAGACCCAAGGAAAAATCAGTAATTGGTACTAAATGGGTCTTCAGAAACAAACTTGATGAAGATGGAACAGTTACAAGGAACAAGGCAAGATTGGTGGTTCAAGGATATAGTCAAGAGGAGGGCATAGACTATGATGAGAC